TACTTGTGCGTTCATATTCCTGCAAGTACTATAATATCTGAACTAATAGCACTGCGTAGTAGCGCGTTCAGTTCGTGATAGAAGGTGTTCTTGACAGTATTTGAACTGCAGTCGGTGGGGGCATAAACGGAAATCACAAACAGTGTTTTGTACTACTTGGTGAATTAACCTCGGTCGATATCGTCAAACGAGCTGCACGCGAACGACTGCTCACTGGAATGCAATCTACCAACAACGGCTCAGCCTTGGAGCTTAGAATAATATCTACACCAACTTGAGCCGTGAGTGATGCATCGGCGTCTCCGGATGCGTGCAACCAATAACGAGAGGATAATCCGGGTGCAGTTAATTCAATAACCCCGTTAGGGTCATTGATCCTAGTTTCGGACACACAACACACATCAATACCCAGTGTGTCCAAATTGCGTGCAAGTGCAGCCTGTTAACCTGTTTGTCTTAGAGTGCGAACGTTGAATGTCGCCATGGAAACGGGATAGGGTGGCCTTATAAGGGACTTTTGCCGATAGGCGTCCGATAGGTGCTGTGGGAAGGTGGCTGCCGTTGGTTCTACTCCAGTGGCACTTCGGTTGCAATCACTAAAGCTGGGAATTATAGAAGGAAGGTTAGTAATGGGGGTCGGGACAGGAAAAACCGTTGGAAAAGAAAGAAGAGTGACACCAGCAGTAGCATGTTTGCGCTTAATTACCCTGCCGTATGTAGTAGATAAGGCGACCCTTGATAACCTATCCGACGGTCGATGCAGAATGTAGTTAGTTTGGTGAAATTCTCATGGTCGTATGTGGGCTGAGATACCGCCAGGGCGACCAAACCTAGACCGTTGGACGATTAGGGTCCCCAACCAAAGCATTTAACTCAAAAGCTTTTCCGAAAAGCAGCGGGGAGGTGGAAATGAATTAGTTTTATAGAAATGGACGCCATCCCATTTCGAACCCCCAACCTGGAGGACAAGGAGATTGAGTTTTCCTGACCTCTCACCATTGATCAATCTGGTAGGAGTAGCTGACAAGGAGCCCGGAAGCAGCACGCAGTATAGCTCAATGGGTCAAGGAGGTATGCAAACCGTCGCATCGCGTTAAGGTCATCTCGTTGCGATAGAAAGAAGAAAGGTGTCAGCTTATACGCCGTAACGGCGCTTCGCTGCCGCGCGACCACCACCAGTCGCGCGCGGGCTGAGTATACCGCGAGGACGCCCACCCCTACGCGGAGTCGAACCAGTGACCTTATGGTTGCAAAGCAAACGTGCAGACCACTCGGCCACTGGCCGATGGTTGCATATGAGTTGAAACTAGAAGATAAACGCCTATCAAAGCATGGCGGAGGAGGGCCAAGAGTTAATGGGTTTAAAACGCGGGGAATAAAAGTGAAGTTGGAACGGATGTTTATGGTGAAAAAATGTGAGAAGGGAAAGATATTCGAACCCCTATCCATCCTGCTTGATGCAGTAGATTGGGTGCTCTGCAGCAGCCAGAGCATCATGAAATTGTCTGAGAAAAGGTTCATAGTATTGCGCTCGCAGGATATTGTCAGGTTGCCCAGGCCTAGACAGATGGACGATTAGGGCTCTCAAGCAAAGCCTTTGATTAACAAACCTGACTGCAATGCGGCGGGTTCGGCAGTAGACTATAAGCAGTCCGTTTTATGTAATAAGGAGCCACCTTCACGCCAACCCCCAGCCTGCGGAACCAGGAGACTGAGTTTGTCTGGCCTCTAACTACTGATCAATATGGTATGAGTGACGCCCTCTGACGAAACCGTGGACATTGTTGTGTTGTGTTGTTTTTTCTTTTACTATTTCTGTACCTTGTTTTGAGTTCCATGGTTTCCGATGGTGCAATGTCTATTTATAGACTGTTGCAAACAAATATAATATATATATATATATATATATATATATATATATATATATATATATATATATATATATATATGTATATATACATATATATGAGTGACGCTGAAGGTGTAAAAAGCACCAACCAGTGCAGCTTAATTGATCACTGAGGCACGAAAACCATCGCACCGCGGCAAGGTCCAGTGTCATTCTGATAGGACACCAGGAGCCTAACTAGCAAGGCAACGGGTCGATTGACATATATCACAAACCCTTGGGAGCCGACTACTACCGTGAGGATAACACGGCTTTCTAGCAGAAACAAACTACTCAGGAGCCCCAAGGAGCACGATTGAAACTGTATGGAGGCTATGAGAGATTTGCTGAACCACAAAACTCGCGAGTGAGCACGAAAGCCAATGACAGCCAAGTGGTTTATACGCCTTTGTGGAAGCCTGTGGCCATCGAGGTTGTGCACCTACTCTTTGTTGGATACTTCTGGTTGTAGAGATGAGTGGTCAGTGACATTATTGCCGGGCACATTGGTTTTGACACAGCGTCTTACGAGCTCCTGTGGGGTTTAAGAAGGAATCAGGTGACCAACCACGAACCCCCCACGCTCTAGAACTCTGCCACTGTTCGCGATTGCATATTCATATGGCCTGCGAACAGCATAGACTTATTCAGTTGTCTCCGCAAGAAAAGTGTTCCCAGATTCGGTGGCGTACATGTCAGCCGAACCAACTAGTGGTGGGTCCATTTAATTTCCCTCGTTCTGTCCCAGTAGTCGAAATCATTTTAAAGGAAGATTATCGAAATCACTTAGTCACATAGTCGTCACACGTGTCAAGAAAACGCCGAATGGCTCCCGAAACCTTTTGGAACTTAGCAGCAGCATAAAGCCGATGACCATGCATTGAAGTGCAGTGTATCCAGGTATCATGATTTCCGTTGTTATAAAAATAAGTAGTAGAAACGAAAAAGTGAACAAGGACAAAGCTAGCGCCAGAAATCTAAAATGAAAGGAGTTAGCAAAAATTAAAAGATTCTGGGAAATGCAAGATGATGCGAAAGACGATGGGTAAGGTTTCGCAACTGGATCACTTCGGGTACGGAATTCAACCAATGATGTAGTGATCCCAAAGCCCCAATCCAGAAAGACTATTCAGCAGCTAGGTTAAGTTTCTCTGTCCTTAATGCAGTAACATTTGGTGTGCCACTTTGTGGTTAGACACAAAAGCAAGTATTGTCAACACACGCCAAGGCGGGCGCTCGAAAGATAAGATCAGGTTAATCTACCGGTTCACCTGCCCTTGGGGCCAGGTACATTGAACGGAAGACCAGGTATTTAGGTAAGAGAATTAAAAAACACCTCCCAGGTTGGCTCTACAATCGCGAGAATAGGACAAACTACAGCGCGATTACGAACCATCTAATCAACACAGGCCACCAGAAAAACAAACAAACATCCTTTCAGATTCTGTACAGAATACCACCAAGGCATAACCGTCGTGTAAGATCAAGCCTAGTTGCCACCGCTGAGGTAGTATGCATACGCCTGACAAACCTGGAAGTGTGTCCAGAAGAAGATGATACAAACGCTACAACTTCCGCGGCCGACCACCAGACGGGAAGGAAGCGATGGCACTCCGCAACTCCACCTGACTTCAGTCATGTGATCAGATGGCTTCCAACATGAGCAAAAGTTAAATTTTCTGATCAATTGTTTCTTTGTTATGCCGACGATTGCAACAGACCTTACCCTAATGTACATTATTGTATGAGCCTGAGGATGAATTAAACGAAAACTATTGCTCGCTTAAAGCTTCGTGTTTTGTTTCTCTTTCTGAACTTAACAAAAATGTTTAAGTGTAAAAGATGGTCCATCGTGGTACTAGGACTGTTAACCGAACACCAAATGGTGCGTTTCACAAATGATAACTCGGTGATTTTGCCGGATATCAGCAATGCTCCGCAGCCATCCTTTATTACAGAGCACAAACATTTTAATTTCTTCGACCAGTGGGCATTTCTATGGTCCATTCAGTAGCACCGAATGCGATGAAATGTTGAGCACAACATTGGACTGACCTTATGTCGTCCCCATAGATGAGCGGCGCTATGAAAAGCCGCAAGCGTACTACGGACGAGCGAAGTAAATTAAGTCAAGTTGACCACCAGATAACATACAGCAATCCAAAAACGTTAACCGATAAAGCGCCTTCAGCCAAGTAGCATAGAATTTACTTCTGTTCGGTTAAGTAAAATTTAGCTGGTTCAATTCCCATTCCACTGAAGGAGGTACAAATACGGAGAAAAACGTAAACAAATAGAAAAACGAGTATCCGTTATAGATGGATCCAGTAAAGCTAAAACTGTTGTATTTAAAGTTCGACAACCAGAAATAAGATACCGAATGCACAAAGGTCAAGGATTTGCTAACTGTACCAAAGTGGATGGATCGATTAACCGTTAGTAAGGCTGATCCGAGACTCTCGTCTCGATCTCCGAACCTTGATTGGTTCATCCGTTCTTCACCTTGCTATCACTGGTGATTTTGCGCCATTGCTCATAAGGTTCAATACTACAAACAGACCCGCTAATGTAGGTCACTCCCATAAGCTCGCGAAGGATATGACTTAACCAGTGTGAACTAACAGACGCTTCAGTTTAGTGCCAAAAAGTCAGTCGCCAAATGTGTACGAGTGGACACTCCATTGCTAACGCAATGATCCCGTTAGAAATTGGAAATACCGATCACGGGATGGTGGGCAAATACAATTTGTCCATCGATGTCTTTAGAGCAGAAACACTGGTTGCATTGTAAGGCTGCGATAAACGGTACTCACAGAGGATAAATTAAAATCCGACGGCCTCAATGACGACGGAGACCATGAAGATAATCGACCTCATCAGTGTGGCTAAATAACCTGATTATTAAGCAAGTGCTAGTCATCTCTAACTGACCAACAAACAGGAGTGAAAGCATAGGGTGCACTGAAGACATTCAAGCGACTTCTGTCAACTAGGCGGAATTGCAGGGAGATAGTAAGGAACGTTCACATCATTCAACTAACAGTTAGAAAGTGTAGTGCTCGGATTCCGTAGAACAAGAAAGAATAGAAACTACATGTTCATTCTTAATGTACTACCTGGCACTACTCGAGCTGACGAAACCAGCATAAAGGCAAATAGTCCAGTATGGAAGAAACACAAAAGTAATGGTACAAACCGTTTCTTGCTGTGCGCTGTTTTTGACTGCCATGCCACCATATTTGCCCATTGAGGTTCCGGGGGTGCTACCACACATAACCGCCATGTCCGTTGCAGTTACGCAAAGCAGTCCACCGCTATGAAGACATTGTACTGCTCCATCCAGAAACGGGCTGGCAGATCCAAATGGGTCAATATCCACTACGTTAAACCTATGTAAAAAGAAAGCAGAAAAACAACCAATAGTACCCCGCATTTCAAAGAACTTAATATCGGTTCACTGTCAAAAGCAACCGTTATCCCGGCTTGACCGCTTAAGCAGTGAACAGGGATCCAACCGAATTAAATTTGGATAGCCGTGATGATGCAAAAGCTGTCGACAAACAGGGTCAAATGGGAGTTCCCGTTTGAACTCACCAAAGGAGAGGCGAAACTGAAGCTCGAATCGAGAAATCTACAGACGTATAGGTGGTTATTAATACCATTGCATGGGGTAGAAAAGCAGCGCTCACTTCAAAATCTTTAGTCGGCGAGAAAGCAAATGTCGGTGGTTTAGCCCCTTAGTTGTGCCATATAAACGCTCACGAAAAGGATAGCTCCTCAAGCATAGATTGCTGATCCAAAGAGCTTTTATTTGTATGGTAAAATATTCTACGTTATCCTAGCTATAAGACAGGACAAGAATGAGTGTTACTAGCCGGGGGATGGAAAGACACAGCATACTTTGGGGTCGCAAGATGTAGAGACTAGCGGAAGCACGGAGCAAAAGACGATTCTTGTTCCAAACAAACCTACAGTTCAACATTCTGTACCCATCGCCTAACCGTACAACGTAAAAGTAATTTTAGTTAAAATTCTACACAACGAACTCAGGTAAATCGGGGAAACCTTCAGACTGCTACATCCGATAGGCAATTGTGCGAATTATCAGTCGGTAAGCTAAAAGACCAATAGCGAAAACAAAGCGCAAAAGAAGGTAAATCATAGTCAACGATGAGTTCAGTGATGGCCTTTGAAAGTCGCATCGGAGTGAAGTTGATTCAATTGCCCTGGCTACATCAGCAAATTAGTGGCAATAATAATAAAAGTATGATGAAGATGCAACATGAAGGAATAAAAGAATGAGGTGATCGGATGGTGGACCTCGCAGAGGCCTCCGCTTGGTGTTTTCCTTGCTGTATCAATAAGATTATTTCTCGTTGGGTTTCTCCATGCATTGGAAATATTTCGAGGAAATTATGATATTGTTAGGCTTCACCCTTGATTCTGAATTTTTCGACCATAAACAAGTGGGTTGTCTCCGTTTAATTTAGGATATCTTACCATAGCTTTGTGTTCCACAAGTAGCTGTCACTTTGGTCCCGAGTTATTCATAATGCCAAAACCTGATTGGTCAATGGTGAGAGGTCAGACAAACTCAATCTGCTGATCCTACGGAGCTGTGAGTTCGAAATGGGATGCCGTCCAATTCTACAAAACTAAATCATTGCCATCTCCCCGCTGCCTTTCGGACAGGCTTTTGAGTCAAATGCTTTGGTTGGGGAACCTAATCCTCCAACTGTCTAGGTCTGGGCGCCCTGGCAGTATCCCAGCCCACATACAACCATGACTTTTACTTCAAACGTAAACTTTATCCTGCATCGACCGCCACGCAGCTTATCAAGGGTCGCCTTATCTGTTGCATACAGCAGGGTGGATAAGCGAATACCTGCTACTGCTGGCGTCTCTCTTCTTCCTTTTCCACCTTTTTCTCTTATTCCCATTCCGACCCCCATTACTAACCTTCCTTCTACAAATTGCAGTTTAATTGACAGCAACCGAAATGTCACTGGAGTAGAACCAATGGCAGCCACCTTCCCACAGCACCTATCGGACGCCTATCGAAAACAGTCCTTTATAAAGCCACGTTGTCCTGCTTCCCTGGCGTCGTTCAACCCTCGGACTCTAAGACAAATGGGTCAACAGGCTGCACTCGCACGCAATTTGGACACACTGGGTATTGATGTGTGTTGTGTGTCCGAAACTAGGATCAATGACCCTAACGGGGTTATTGAATTAACTGCACCCGGATTATCCTCTCGTTATTGGTTGCGCGCGTCCGGAGACGCCGATGCATCACTCACGGTTCAAGTTGATGTAGGTATCATTCTAAGGTCCAATGCTGTACCATCGTTGGTTGATTGGATTGCGGGAAACAACCGTTTATGTGCAGCCCGTTTGACGACATCAGCTAAGGTTGATACACGAATTTGTACAAAACGCTGGTTGTTTGTGATTTCCGTTTATGACCCCACCGACTGCAGTTCTAATGCAGTCAAGGACACTTTCTATCACGAACTGAACGTCCGACTACGCAGTGCTACTAGCTCAGATATTATAGTACTTGCAGGGGATATGAACGCACAAGTAGGGCGTCTCAGCTCTTCAGAAGCTCAGCTAGGTGGTAATTATGGGCTTAACTCCAAACGGACTGACAACGGTGAGCGTCTGCTGCAACCATGTGCGGAGCACCAGTTGTTGCTTAGTAGCACTGCTTTTAGAAACAGTGGGCGCCGAAGTGCTACTTGGCGTCCTCCTGTAGCTGGCCATAAGTTACAGGTGGCATGGTTCCATCCTGGATTGCCGCTCGTACTGAAGTACTTGCGTCGACTCTGATCATGCCTCGGTACGCTGTCGTTTCACCATGAAATTTACTGGGCGGCGCACCAAGCGTCCCATCCGATTGGCAACCGAGAAATTGTCTCAGTCCTCGGTCAGGCAAGCCTATCAAGAAGCACTGCATACCAAACTTTCCCTGCCTTGTTCTAATGACACGGAGTACTACGCGGTAACACGTTTTTTTGACGTGCCATACTGATTCGATTTATAGGCCGAAATATCGTTGAAAACAGTCTGTAAATAAACTCTGGGAACAGAATTTGACTTTTGTCATATTCTTGTCATTTATCGTGAAGCGAAGGGTTCCAGTAGACACTTGCAAAACATCTGACTGTTATTAACTTTTCTCCGAAATCATAACATGAGTATCGTGATAAACATCCCCCTAATCAAAAGCGTTGTAGCCTCGTGATCTTCCACCATAAAGACCCAGTGATTCGACTCCTCAGATTCGCTACGCACGCGATGGTGCCAGGCACGAAAGAGCCTAAGTAAAAGACTCCTCGACATGAGTGAGGACCGGTTAATAGTGAGGCAAATCACCCGGTCTTAGAAAGAAAGGTGATCAACAAAGTCAGTCAATTAGGATCCCCTTTGTGGACGAAGCTAGTCTGAGACTGATCTTGTCCCGCTTAAATAGGCTGGATCCATGTTCCTCCGGACTTGGATCCGGTCAATTGTGAACGGCTCAAGTCTGAAATCGTTGGGTTGAAAAAAACGTCTTGGTGATGAAAAAGCAACACCCAGATTCGTAAATGTTCGGATCATTTCAATATTTCATGGAGCAGGATAAACAGGCTGTTCGCATTTCAAGCACGATCGGGTGTTCTTGCTACAGCTTGGGTGTAGCTTTCACCGGCATTTGCAGTATTATGAACAAGCGTGATGAACTCGGTCGTTTCGTTACATCTGAGCGGCCAGATGTAGTGGCGCACGCAGAGACATGGCTGAATACTGAGCGGATTGTCAAGGAAATCAAGCTCAGTGCTACTTACGCTTCCGCTGCGTAGACTTTCGACTGCTTGAGGTAGCGTGCTGCTCTACATCCGGTCTCCTCTGTGTGGAGGTTGTAAGCATCTACAGCATCTACATGTGTGTGGGCAGCTATGGTGTCGGATCCACCTCAGGCGCGGAAAGCTGCTCGTGAGTACCGTTTATCACAATCCCCTGAGTCGTGGCTTGGGTTGACTGTCACATCTCCGAAGCCACATAACTCGTCCAAATTTTCTACTCATGGGTACTTCAGTTGTCCTCGAGTACGTTAGCCTGAAGTTCAACTAATACCCAGACATTGTGAGGTCAGAGCAATGTTCGCAGTACTTGATAGTGGAGCAGCAAAAAACATATGCGAATCGACACGTATAAAGCCGCACTCAGCTAAGTCATGCTTAACTTTGTTGTGGACAAGCTGTGAAATACATGTGTATGAAGTTCAGAGCGTAGAGCCAATGGCAGCTACAGGACACTAAGTACTCATAGCTAGCACGTAACTACCTTTATTGTATTCCCATCTGCTGGAGCCAGCTTACAGCTATTGGGTTGGTTTCAAGCATAAATTGCATTTGTGGAGGACTATTTGACTGCTGTAAGAGGGGAGTGTCATTACTGTGTTCTCCGTTTGTACCACTGAAGTGTCGGAAAGTTGGGCCAGTCAAGCCACACTGGTTCGACAAAGAGTATGGAAAAATGACTAGGCGGTGGTGCTAATTGTGAGACAAACACCTCTTCGGCCCTCCTAACGATCATGAAGGGCATAGGGGGCAGCAAAATATTTGCAACATTGCTAGGATGAGCACGCACAGGCAGTTCGAATAGCCCGCTGTAGTGGCAACGGCCGTTCCGACAAGAATATTTACTTACGTGAAGCAGCGCCGCAAGCCGGCAGGTGATCTACCAGTGATAGAGGGCTAGGACGGACAGCATCTAACCTCCAGTATTGAGCGTGCGTCCGCGTTGTCGGCGCACTTCGCCTCAGTATTTGCAAATGAACGGGTGTCTGTACTGAGTTAAACGTGCACCACACTTACCGAACTCGACAGTCTGGATTGTGATGTTGAAGAGGCGCGTCGACAACTCGCTAACATTGATGGCACCAAACCTGTTGGGCATGACGGACTCAACCTACTGATTCTCAGGTCTCTATCAGTTATCATCTCGCTTGCCATGACTGACTCGTTCAATAGGTCGCTGTCCGAAGATGCTTTGTCCAGCGACTAGAAATGTACAGCCGATTCAGAAAGGCGGTGAATCAAGCAAAGTGAACAACTTCAGACCAATTCGTATGACACCTATTTTGGCCAAGCTTACCGAGATCGTGAAGAACGGTTTACCATAGTTGTTCCAATCAAAAGATATACTGACGCCCGCACAACACGGTTTTATGCTAGGTAGTTCATGCGCTACCAACGTGCTGGTGACAAGGCATGAGTGTTGCAAGCAGTGAACCAAGGGGTCTATTGACGTAAACCATATCGGCTTTAGCAAGGCGTTCGATGAGGTAATTCATTAGGTCCTCCGTCACAATTGGGGTGTGCGGTGTTGGTGGATAACTATT